ATAGGGATTCGAAACACAGAGTGACAAGCAGCATTCTCTTTGTCCCACTGTGCCAGCCCTCAGGGGAGTTTGTCTTAAGGGGTCCTCATCCACGAGGGGCCTTTGGCATCTCAGCCTTTGTTGTCTTGTTAGTACTGGAGAAGTCCCACTGCAGCAGTGCCTGCCTACTGCTACAGATTAGCGGGTTTATGACTGGAAGTGTCTCGTGTTCTCAGAAAATCTGAGACATCATTTAAATACACTATTCTTATCACCTGTGAGAGAAGGTCTTTGCTTTCTTAGGCTAACTCTGGGAGTGAACTTTGTTGATCTTGTGAACAGCTGCATCTTTTGCAGCCTCTTAGTGGACATCTCTTGTATCCATGGTTAAACCATAAAAAGGCTTACTGGTGTGAGTTGCTATTGAAATTAATACACCCATTGAAGATCCTGCTCATCAATGACCAGATGATGGATCCTTTGAAAAGATTAACAGGAGAAAAACAACAGAAGTCTAGTACCGTGTATCCCTCCTGTATACATGGGAGATACCCTGGAAAACTGAGTTTAACTCCCCTGAAGTGACCCAAGCATCACCTTAAATATCGTCTTCAGCTAAAGACGTAAGAAAGATGGAGGAGGCGGGAAGGCCAGTTAGGGTACCAGGTAAAGCACGGCAAATAAGGGTAAGGTTGTTTTGCAGAACAGACACAGGGAAAGCTCTGAAAACCTAGTAGAAGTTACCCTTTGGTAAGGGAAATTTACCATTTTACTCCATTTTAAGGATGTCTCTGTACCTGGAAGGGAAGGATGACGCTAAATGAACAAAAACTCTTACCACTGGAGACGGTACCCAACTTAATTCTGCAAAACAACCTTACCCTTAATGACTGTGCTTTACCATGGTACTAGATTTGTGTTGTTTTTCTCCTGTTTATCATTTATTACAGGGGTGAAGTCTGAGCCAAGAACATAGAAGGGTGGAGGGAAAATTATTTTTCCTCCCCTACAAGGACATTTACAAAGTTTCTGAGTTATTAACTGTTAAAAGACACAGAATTTTTATTTTTAGGAGCAGAACTGTTAATAAGCTCAAAGAAAAAACAATCCAATGCTAATGGCAGAATGGTATATATTCTTAGCCTTCTCAGAAAGGCACAGCATACATGGTTCAAACAGGAAATCTCTGGTGGCCATCAGAACTTTGGCAGGGGTTACATTACATCTGTTAAACATATTGGGCTTTTAGCTATTTCATAAGTTTATAAGACCTGGACATCTACATTGGAATACATATATATATATAAATATACACACTTTATTATTTTTTTAAGTAGTATAACATATATGCTATCTACTGCCCATTTATCTTAAGTCAAAGACTTTGGTATCAGAGTGATCAAATTATGGCAAAACTAAATTAGAAGTACTGATAGTCATTAATTTGACTTAGAAAGTTAACACAAAGGAGAACCAACTGTTTAAAAAAAAATCTTTGGTTGCATGTTAAAGGTATATACTTAAGCATGAAGAGAGAAAAGCATTCAATTATAAAATTTAATATAAAGCTTCAAGGCCATTAACTTTCTTTAAAAAAAAAGTCACCCAAACTAATCCTAAAAGTCTCAAAGCATAATCTATAAACTGACAGGCTCCTCTGTAATGTGATTTTTAATGGCTATTATTATACACACTTAAAAAAAACAAAACCATAAATCACAGTGGCTTTTAAAAATTCTATAAAATATCAAATCAAAAAATTATGGAGAATCTTGTAGCCTAAAATTAAGAAAAGAAATATAAAAACAATTTAGGAATAAAGACTTTGAAAAAGTTTTGCTGAACTCAGATATCTTAACAAGCTTCATCACCTGTCCCTGTCCCTGTGGCCTGCGTGGGGGACTTGGTGCCGCCCAGTGGGCTGGGCGGGTGATGTCAGAAGCACTTGCAAACAAAGCAGGAGGCTTGCAAGCCCAGGAGTGGGGAGCAGCTTTTAAACTAGGTTGAATTCCCTCAGGTTCAGCTGTAGAATTGTGTCTTTCACAGCAGCAAACACAAAGCGGATATTCTCTGTGTCTGTAGCACACGTGAAGTGGGAATAGATGACTTTTTCTTTGTCGGGATTCTGATCTTGATAAAGCTTCAGGATAAAGTCTCTGGCAGCTTTGACGTCTTGCTTTGGTCCTAGTCACAAGGGCAGTTAGAGAAATAAAGGAGGAGGATACGGACTCACCAGCAGGCCGTCCCCCGCAGCATTCCCAGTGTACCCTGGTTCTTACTGGGGATCCTTCTCTGAGTCGTCTTATCCCCCGGGACTCGTTTACCGAGAGCATCTTTATTATACCTCAGTATGGCTGCAAAAGGGTATTTTAGTGTCCCCTGGTATGTAAAAATTGTACTTTTAGGAGATTTGTTGAAAAATAGTGACTCAGTTTGTATTTTCTGATTTGGACCACTTTGGAAGAGAGGTAATTCTTATTAAGTGAACTGGGGGAGGGAAGAGAAAGAATGCAGGGGACTAGCATTACTAGGCGCCCGAGGCGGATTCTAAAGCTCTCAGGCGCCATGCTGCGTGGCCAGTGAAGTCAATACAAGGGAAAAGGAACGTGCTCAAACTCTGCTCTTCTTAATACCAGTGTCTGAGGCCTCCTGCACCAGGAATCAGTAGCACTAGGGCGTAAACTAGTGTGATGGGTTGGTCATCTACATAAAGAGCCCGAGCATCTACTCTGTGTCTGGTAAAGGGGCTGCCACCCTAACCTACATAGGAGGAGTGCCAGGTGCTCTAACTGGCCCTGCGAATACAAAAGGTAAGTCAGGCACACCCTCTGCCCTCAGTGCTAGGAACTGACTGGGGAGAGAGCAAGGCGAGCCCAGGCTGCCAGGGGAGCGCGAGGCAGGGCTACCTACTGTGGATGGGGGTGGGGTGAGGGGCAGAAGGACTTCCCCAAGGAGGAGGTGCCTGAGCTGTGTCTCAGAGAACAAAGTGCAGTTAGCAAAAGGAGTTGGTACATGTATTCCAGGCACTGGGAGAGGCATGTGTGGAGGTGCTGAGGCGAAAATGCAGTGATTCAACTGAAAGTCTACTGAAGGCAGATCAGGGAGGCCCCTGGGAGCCCTGCTCAGAACTCTGAACTGAGGCTGGGGCAGTCAGGTCAATAAGACAGACACTTACTTACCGGTGTATTCAGGAAAATAGCTAATTAGATGAGAGTACATGATCTTCTCTTCCAAAAGATCCTTCTTGTTTAAGAACAAAATCACCGATGAGTTCAGAAACCAGGGGTAAGTGATGATGGTTTTAAATAAGGCTTTGCTCTCCTCCATGCGGTTCTGAGTGAGAAAGAAGAGACTTAGGATAAATTAGAAAGAAAAGCAAAGCTTTGGGAACAACATGAAAAATCACTGGTTCCACCCATCTGTCCTCCTGTGACCGGGCCGCAGTCTCCGGTCGCTGTCCTTGCTGAGGCTGATGAGCACGTGGAGCCCTCCTGGACCTCCGCTCCTGTAGCACCCAAACTCCTCTGGCCCCGATATGATACAAGAAAGCCTTTTGTGCAGCTTGGAAAAAGAAGGTTCACACCCAGGCTATGTGTATATAGGCTGTGTGTAACTGTTGGGATTACCAAGTGGGGGCAGTTCAGAGCTGCAGACAGGAGACACCCACTTTAATTGTGTGCAGGCTTCCAGACTGGGCCTCAGGAGTGATGGTGAGGAGGAGGAAGGCTCTTCTGACGGGGCCACTGCGCTCAGGAATGCTGGACGCTGGTGCAGAAGCAAACAAATGCTACGGAGCACCTGCCCTGCGCCACACTTTACACGTGTGCAACACAGGTGAGCTCTCCGATGGGAGCGGGTCCCCACGTGATTGATAGATGAGCATACTGTTGTTCACAAAGGTTAAATACCTCCCCAAGACTGTACAATCCAGTGGAAGCTAGGTAGAAGAACGGTAATAATTTCTGAACATTAGACATTGGCAAAGAAATATTAAATAATCCTAATTTATGGAGAGCAGACAGGGCACATACAAATCCTAGCTGGGGACAATAACTGTCTTTCGATAGAAATACTTGAGAGGGAGCAGAATGCTAAGAGGAAAGAAACCCTTCCCTTCCTTGAGACGGGGGAACACAAAAGCCCCGCACCCCCGCCCCCGAGGCGCACGCCCGCAACCTCCCAGTGCCTAGGCCTGCTTTCCTGCGTGGTAACATTTGGGGGAGCAATTCTGGAATTTATTACCAGAAAGGTAAACCCTCACTTGTTTTTAAAGCTTCTTTAAAATGTATTATAATCTTACCAATAATGATTGGCAAGGAAGTACAATATATGAGAAAACAATTCCTGGACAGCACAGTGAGTGGGTGCAACATGTTTCTACAACCAGGATGGAAAGTCTGGGGTGGCAACCACTTAATTTTCCCACAGATACCTTGGGTTTTTCAGAGAGGAGAATATGATTAATTTCTTAGCACATAAGGCCACGGTACTTGTCCCTGCCACACCTGACTAATCTTTGGGTTCCCTGAGAAGTGTCCTAAGTAATTCCTGAGACAGATTTGGAGCTAATTTTCATATGGATAACCCAATGCCTGTGCTTTCTTAAAAAAAATTTCTCCACTGGAAGAGCTGGGCGGCAGCCAAGATTTCTATTCTTTGCACAGTGACATTAGTAAATGGGTTAATCCTCTGCTAATGAGCTAATGTACCTGTCCTCCTCAGGGACAAATCTGCTCTCAAAAAAATACAAGATAGAATTTGTTCATAGTTATTGCCTAATCCTGGACAGAATTCTTTATTGATTTAACTTTCATGCCCTATAAGCAAGAGATATTTCTAAAAGGTCAGGAGGTCATTGTGCAAAGGATAGGGGGAAAGATGAAGAGAAGACAGTTGTTATCCCCCAGGAGGTATCCCCAGCCTCACGCAGAGGTGACCATGATGATTCTCCTCACTCTTCTGAGCAGACCTGGCTGATGGAGCTCACCCGGCCAGTGCTGCGGGGACTCGGCTGAGGCACCGAATGCCTGACTGAGGTGAGTCAGTCCCAGCTGCCCTGGGCAAGTCCCTCCTAGGGGACGTGAAGGGCAGATGCTCTGCCAGGTGGTCCCAGAATAGCTGCAAGCATCTGGCATCACTCCCCATGCCAACTCAGCTAGGGATCTGATTGGGGAGCCTGAGATGAAGCTTTTTAAGGAATACCTTTGCTCTACTTTGGCTGTATGTTAGCATCCCCAGGGAGCTTAGTGACGATATGAGTCTACTGTTGGGTCCAAAAGGTGTGCTTTTAAAAAATAAAACAAACTCCCCAATATGCAGCCAAGGCTGAGAACCATGCTTTTGAGTGGCTCCGTGCTTCATAGCACATTGTGCTCAGGCCACACCCCACTGGGGTTGGACCCCACCACCAGGTTGTTCTGTAAGGTCCCCCAGGGAATTTTGGTGTGCATCCAAGTTTGAGAACCAGGATCCTAGGTCAGTGATTCTCAGATAACCTGAGATCTTGTTAAAGATTCTGATTTACTCCATCTGGGTTGATGTGACACCTGTGCTGCCAGCCCACAGACGACAAGCCTAAGGGGTAGGGTCTAATGCCAGAGCTGGCTGGCCTCTTGCAACCTGCAGAAATTGGTTAGCTGTGGAAGACAGATACCTAACTCCCCACCGGGCGTACCTCATTGTCACACTCGGCCAGGACCTGGTCATATTCACTCAGAGCAACCAGAAAAATAATGGAGGTGACACTCTCAAAGCAGTGAATCCATTTCCGCCTTTCAGATCGCTGGCCGCCAACATCCACCATCCTGTTCAACAGAAACATACGACTCTTAGAGGGAAAAGGACATGGAAATCAGCACTCTTTAGACAATGAAGAACCACTGGATGTGTCCTGGCAAAGGAGGTACAGAATGTAAGTAGTGTTACTAAAGATGGAAGCAGGGGTCACTGAGGTGGAGCCTGCTGGGGGACGCTGGTTAGGAAGCTCCTGCAGCCAACTCACTTGTGCGTTGCTCTAGCCACCACAGAATGCCGGGACCCTAGACACAGAAGGCCAGAGAGTCAGGCCAGCTTCCAAGTCTACTCAGCCTCCTTCAGGCCCTCACCCCTTTTTGTTTCCATGGGTTTTCAAATCATCCTCAGATTCTTTCTGCATTAGCTGGACACCACCCCTTCCCCAGAGAGACCTGCATGTGCCTCTGTACAATGTGGAAATCCAAAGCCTGTGTGTGTGTCTTTGGGAAAGGGTTCAAGGAATCATAGCCCAAGGATCAGCTGCAAGCTTGAACATGCCCGGGGTCAGGCGTGGAAATGAGTTCAGTGGGCCTCTCAAGAGTAGAAAAGCATTCACCTTGTGAGTGCTGGGGGCCCTGTCTAAAGGAATGGCTGCTACCCCACTGCAGCAAGCCTGGTCAGAAATGCAGGCTCGCTATTGGACTAGATCCTCCAACTTTTTAAGAGATATAGCAAATACTTTCAGCAGAATAGCCCAACTTTTAAATGTTGGCTGAAAAGTTTTTTAAAACACCAAGTGGGCTAAAGAGAATCAATCTGTGGACCAGATAAAGGTTTTGGAAGTTGCAAGCAGCATGGATTCTGAAAAGGTTTAGATAAATTCATGGGCACACACAGGCAGAGGGCATGTGCTCCCAGAGATGCAGAAAATCAAGGGGCTCGAGCAGAGGGCTCCCCCAGTGTGACAGGTGCTCCAGAAACACTGAGATGTAGTCGGAGTACAGGCAGGACTACCTGTGCCATCCCGACTAGTGTGTGTAACAGTTACTAGGAAGAACAAGGGAACTGATGGATATAAAAGTGCTGTGGAATTTGCAATGATAAAGGGAAAAGACAACAGTATCTTCAATCTGTGGGTCACAGGAAGAGACATCTCTGTGTGTGTGTGTTTTGTGCATAAGAATCATTCCAGACCTCAGTGAGGATGCTCG